GAATCTGGGGAAATTAGCTTTCTCCAAAAGGTGGCTGGAGTCTCCATAGGTGAGGAGTTCAGCCATCTGAGAGAGACTCAGATTAGAGCTGCTACTCCCCCCACATCGAAAGGAGCCAGTTGAAGTGGCTCGGGTATCTGACAAGGACGCCTCCTGGATGCCTTATGGTTAAAGTGTTCTGCGTATGTCCTACTCGGAGAATGCCCTGGGGTAGAACCAGTAGGACACACTGGACAGATTATACATCTCGGCAGGTCTAGGAAACCCCGAATAAATTGCAGGTGGTGGCTGGGGAGAAAAGAATCTGGGCTTCTCTGCTCACACTGCTGGCCCTGCGACCCAGCCCCCGATAAACAGAAGAAAATGGAAGGAAGGACACAAGTGTTGCAAACATGTCTACTATAACAAAAAACTCTTGAAATGACAGTGTTGCATTTGCTGTTGTCTCTAATTTATTGTTATTAGTTACATCCATGACTTTGCTTGAATGGATTTTAAAAACTTGACATCAGATAAAACCTGGAAGCCTGTCATCAGATTTCTTTCACGTATTTTCACTTTTACTTCATACCACAAACATGTGCTAACAGCTGTAATGACATTACTGATCTCCACTCCAAATCGGTCTATTATCGTATTCAGAAATTCCATAAAATTACAGACAAAAAAACAAAACAAAACAACAACAACAACAAAAGAAAAACAAAAACATACCCTCATAATCTGAATGCCCAGTAGGGAAGACTCCAGTAGCTGACAGGTAGATGAGCAGAACACTGTTAGCAGGTAGCTCCTGGAAATAAAAGTGGTAAGATAAAAAATTAAGTCACAAATTCAAGTATTTCATTTTACTATAACTACTAATCTTAAATAATTTACAGCGCATGATAACCGAAAAACTCTGAATCCATTCAATTCAGTTGAAATTATATAGTGCCAATTCACAACCACGTCTTTCTGAGTATGATAATACAAGCTTGGCACACCCATTTTTTAGACAGTTTCTCCCAATCTTCTTTGTAGAACCTTTCGAGCTCAGGTTGGACAGGAGTTGGGGCAAAGCCATTTTCAGATCTTTTTAGAGACGTTCAATTGGGTTCAGGTCTAGGCTCTGGCTGGGCCGTGACTCCTTTGTTATCGTGACTGTGTGCGTAGGGTCGCTGTCCTGTTGGAAGATGAGCCTTCACCCCAGACCAAGGTCCAGAGTGCTCTAGAGCACGTTACCATCCAAGATATCTATGTACATTGCTACAATCATCTTGCCTTCAAGTCTGACTAGTCTCCCAGTTGCTGGTGCCAAAAACATCCCCATACCATAATGCTGCCACAACCATGATTCTCTATAGGTATGGTAATGACCAAGTGCTCAACAGTACCTGGTTTCCTCCAGACATGATACTCAGGCCAAAGAGTTCAATCTTTGCTTCATCAGAACAGAAAATATTGTATCTCATGGTCTAAAAGGCACCTGAAGGACTCCAGGTGGGTTGTCATGTGCCTTTTCTGAGGAAAGGCTTCCATCTAGCCACGTTACCACACAGGCCTTAATAGTTGAGTGCTGCAGAAATGATTGTGCTTCTGCAAGGTTATTCTCTCTCCACAGAGCAATGTTGGAGCTCTGTCAGAGTGAGCATAGGGTTCTTGGTCACCTCCTCAACTAAGGTTCTTCTACCCCGAATGCCAGGAAGCCACAATTAGGAAGAGTTCAGGTGGTTCCAAACTTTTTCTATTTGTGAGTGATAGAGGCCACTTTGCTCATTGGGACGTTCAATGCTGCAGATATTTTTCTGCACACTTTCTCAGATCTGTACCTCGATACCATCCTAACTCAGAGGTCTACAGATGATTCCTCAAACTCCATGGATTTGTTTAGGCTCTGACATCAATCATGCCCAATCCAATCCCACCGATTTACCCGATTTACTGACTTGAGTAGATATATATATGTTCCCTTTATGAGCTTAACTTGAAAACAATGCCCAGATAGCAGTGAAAAGAAGTGAGAATATAAATATTAACAATGGAAATAATGTAAATATATAATCTTGGAGATACAAATCTCAACTTATTGAATATTTATTGAGGAAACCTGCGATTAAAGTTCATACTGACCTTAAAAGAGGCAGACAAGAAAGTAAAAAGCTGGCTGAAGGTTGGCTTGTACAGCAAATACTTGTGAGGGTTTTCTCTCTTCGCTGGCTTTTCGTTGGGTTCCTGTGGAGAAACATCACACAAAACATTGCATGTGTAAACAAAAGACTGTAAAACCTTATGTAAATGCAACTGAAATCAAAAGGCTTCTAGGCGAGGGGCTGAGGCACACTGCTGTGTGTACAGGTGTATTATGTGGTTTTATCATCCCTATACATCATAAATGTATAAGCCATTTGTGCATTTATACATGTGGTACAGTAATAGTATCTTCATTAACAGACAAGCAGATTGGGATTGGACAGTAAATGTGTTCTTGTGCAAATCTATACAGTTTATACAGAGGAACAGTTTGTGCTGTGGATAAATCCTATGCTCCAGCTCAGTCTCAGAGACCCACACGATGGACATGCGTCAACCAGCATGCAGCCTGTTTCAGTTGCTCCTGTTTTTTTAATCCATACTTTAAACTTTTTCCTTACTTTCTTCGTCTTTTACTTATTATTGTAGCATGTTAGTTTGTTTTCAATAGTTTTCTCTCAAACATGTGGGTTGAGAAAGTTTTTCTTCTCCTTGTTGCCGCAGAACTATTACTTTCATTGAGGAATGGGATTGCGGCATGGCAGTTACACACCACACGCTCTGTGGCTGAAATGGATGCAGAGGTGGGGGACAGAAGAGCACGAGGGAGACAGTAATACAGTGGAGGCTTCAAGCAATGAAGAGCTTTAAGCCGAGTCTCCCATGTAGTATAATGGGGAATGTTAGGTCGCTAGCAAACAAGCTGCATGAGCCAACAGCACCCGCCTGGAGTCAGAGAAGCCTGATGTTCTTCACTGAGTCATGGATTAACCAGGATATTCCAGATGACAATGCATCTGTGGAGGCTTCCATACTGTTTGGGCCAACAAGTGGTAAGCAGGAAGGAGGGGGGCTTGCCCATTATACCACTACACGATGTGCCTGACACTCACCATCGTTCCTTGCTTGGAGGTCTGTGTGGCCAGGTTTACTGGTTCCCTCTCCAAAGCTTGAAGCATGCGGAACATATCTATGGTTAACTCACTGAACTTCACCTAAAATAAATGACAAAACAATATTAATATATCAAGTTACTGTTTCAGCCTTCATTGTGATTTGAAAAATGATTCAAAGTCACACACAAACACAATTGTTTGCCATTCACAGAAAAATGAGAGCCCTCACAGATAAATCAGTGCTGCAGTTATAATGAAAATGAAACAAAAACAACTACTGGTTATATTGTAATCTTCTCCTACAAAGTTTGACAAATATTTTAGTTTTTTGGGTCATAACAGCCAGGAGTGAGCAGTGCAAATACTATCAGCACTTCAGAAACTGAATGTTAGTGTAAACTGCACAGAAAGCAGAAAAAGATCAGATCAGAGGCCCAGAGAGAAGACGTAAATGAAATAATAAAATAATCCATCCATCCATATTACTTGAGAGTCAATGTCTCAAGTTTTCTCTGAAAAGAGTTGCAGCAATTGTAGAAATAGAAATATATTGCTTTTCTAGTCTTAGTACTCAGTTAAGGCACTTTACAAATAACATTTAACTAGAACATGCATGCAGTATCCAAAGGAAACCCACAAAGGTACATTGAGGAACATGCAACTTCTACATCGAAAGACCCGAGCCAGGGTTCAAGCCTTCTTGCTGTGAGGCAACAGTGCCGATCATTGCACCACCATGCTGCTCATGCTGATGTGTGTTAAGTTTGAGAAACCATGAATCAGATTTAGTGGGTTAGAACCTGGTTGTTACTGTTGCCGATGATTAGTGCGTCAGCAAGGATGAGCTGCCCAACCACCATGCCTTGTTCCAGTGGAGGCACACTTCCCTCCTGCAGCCGATTGCTGATGGTGACGACAGAATTGTTGTCGTTCAGAACTACCACAGGATCTGCCTGTTACAGACAAACAATTGAAGAAGAGCAGTTGAAGAAATAGTGCGGATCCAGTATATCACCCAGCAGACAAGAGGAAGAACAGAGACTTCTCTGTTTACCTCACTGTATGTGCACAAACATGACAATTATACCATAATGAATAAAATACTAACATAATGAAATAACATCAAACAGTATTACGCTTGGAGGGTTATTTACCTCTATAAAAGCTGCCACTTCCTGCAGAACCAGGTTCCACTCCAACTGGTCCTCTGTGTTGAAACGCTGTGTGTAGTCTTCAATTTCCTCAGATAACTCCTGCAGATGGCAGATAGGCAGGAAGAGCAATAAGAGGTGTCATGAAAAAAAACGAACAGTTTTGAATTTTTACACAATCATAAAAGTAACAAAAGTGAACAAAATTCATGAAGTAGACTACCTCATTCACATTTACAGGGAGAAAAAACCCAAAATATTAGCACAATTCAATACAATATCTGCAGCTCCTTAGATCTAGAAAATATTCTAATGTTAAAAAAAAAAGAAAGAACCTAAAAGAGAGATTTGCAAAACCTGTTAATGGTACCTCAACATGTACAAAGTGTTGATCTTTGACAACATGAGCAACATACCCAATAATAATAAGATACTTTCTATTACAAATTAAGAAAATACACTTCTCAGCAAAAACAATAAAACCACTGACAGGTGAATGGATTTACATTGCTTGTTATGTTTTGACTTGTTTAATTGAAAAAAGATAAGGCTTAACATAAGAAAACTTGGCTTATGGTATTCATGTAGATACTACTCTGACTTGCACAACCTACCTAAACATTTTGAAGACCATGCACAACCCTCTTGATGTGAGTGGCCTCATTACTAACTACTAAACTATTAGCCTAAAACCAAGACACTTACCTTTTCCTCCTCACCCAATTCAGCTTAATATTTGTTCATTACTTTGAAACGAAAAGACTAATTAAAATATAAGGGGGGATTTTTTTAAGCATTATAATACAGCATCTTCAACTTTGAAGGTATCGAGTGGACTGTAGACAGGTACTACACTTGGCAAATTATAGTTTCGACTATTACAAAATGGTTTTCCCTTATGACTATAATTACAAAGTAATAACTTTGTATTAATGAGTATATCGACTACTAATATTAGAATGAAAAGCATGTTACAGAGTAAAAAAAGTGTATAGGTACACTTTGACTGTTTCTTCCTTTATTTAGCTGTTTTTGGCCCTTTTTTTACTCTGTAACATGCTTTTCATTCTAGTATTATTAGTCAATATACTCATTAATACAACGTTATTACTTTATTAACGTTATTACGTTATTACTTTGTAATTATAGTCATGTGACTGTACCTCATTATTAAAACTGTTACCTAATGACTGAAACCCTGCATACCAAGCTGTAATATAAAGTACTAACAATATGGCTTCCATACCTTCACCAAAACTTTGACAAGGTCCATCTTGTTTAAAAGTAAACAGACGACTATGTAGCGAGCATAATAACGAAGCTTCTTCACTACTAATTCAGGCCTGATGAAAGACAAGAAAAGACAATATGAG